AATACTGATATATAAATTAAATATATTAATATTATAATCTATTCATATAACACATTAGTACGTAGGATATAGGCGTAGTGATTATTATTAAATATAACCTATTTAATATGTTAATAAGTATATAGTAGATAATAATGTTTATATATACATTAAATATATTAATATTTATAACCTATTTTTATGTAGCATATAGGTTTACATAGGCAAAACTATACTATATACTATAGATGTAATATTTATTAATCAAATATTAATATTAACATATAACTTGTATATGCACTTGAGCATTTGGTTTATTAGTTGGTGCATTATTCCCTTGCCTAAAGAGCAAGGTTCGAATCCCCTCGCCCCCAATTATATAAAAAAAAACATATAACTTGCATCTATTTAAAAAAACATATAACTTATATCATTTAAAATATATAACTTATAATTACATGTTCCATGACTTTAACACGTAATCATATTATTTATGTTTTAAATTTTGAAAAGGTAAATACCTATTTTACTTAATACAAGTATAATTGATTGCTATATTTAATCATAACACTTTGGAATATATATATAATAGTAATTATATTCCTTGTAATATGACATTATTTAAACATAACTAATATTTTAATAGTTTTATTATTTAAATATATTAATGAAATATCATTAATAATTTGACTAATCATAATATATTATAAATGAAAAGTTTGATTCCTAACATCAATAAAATTTTACATATTCAATTATCTATTATATACTATATAACACATAATCGGGTTTAGGTATTGGGGATCCAAAGGGTGTTACCTAAACGTTACCCTGAACCTGATACGAGTAATAAAATTACTAGCCGAACTCGTCTCAAAACTAAATATAAGGTACCTTAACCTTATATAATTGAATCAGGCACCTGTGGGTATCTTGTTACACAGTACCCATAGCCATTCTTACAACTACTATGGATATTTTGCGATGTTTATTGATGAATTTTCTCATTATGGTTATTTGTTCTTAATTAAAGAAATATTTGAAACCATTGATAAATTCAAAATTTTTAAGACTAAAGTTTAGAAATAGTTGAGAAAAACACTAAAATTGCTAGATCTAATAAGGGTAGTGCATATGTTGGCAAGTATGACATAATAGGATAAGAAAAGAGTCTATTTGTCAAATACTTAGAAAGGTGTGGAATAATGCCCAATACATTATGCTTGGTAGTCCTAACACAAATGGTGTGACTAAAAGATAGAATTGCACCTTAAAGGATATGATGAACAATGTGGTGAATGAGGCTATAATTTACCATAATTTTGTAATGAAAAGCAATGAAAATAGATTTGTGTATCTTAAATAAAATCCCTAACAAATCTATATCTAAAACCTTATTCAAATTGTGAATGGGATGAGAACCTATTCTTAATCACTTACATTTTTAGGGACGTCCTTCAGAAGTACATCTTTATGATCCATTAAAACTAAGATACAATATTGTTCCATTTATTGATACTTTATTGGGTACATAAATCATTACATGGGTTATAAATTTTATTACTCAAGTGGAGGTGGTAAAATTGTTGAGGTAAAATAACTATGTTTTTGAAGTTAGATATGATTGATATTAGTTACTCTTCATATAGAGGTAGAGGAGATTATACTAAGACTTAAGTATTTATATACCTATATAGAAGGATCTATGGCACATACATGAGTTGGGGAATAAGAACAAGTTCAACTATTTCCTAATGAGGTCTTTTAATACCAGAATGTTGTGGAAAATGTGCCATAAAGAAAATCTATAAAAGTAAGAAAGCTTGCTAGTTCTTCATACATTTATTAATTTTATCTCTGAGAAAAAGATTATGATTGGTCATCTAGTTGATTTAATAACTTCCTAAAAGCTGTTTCTAGTCTTCAATCAAACTTGTGGTGGGATGCAATGAGTGATAAGATGCATTCTATATGAAATAATGATGTGTGGTAGCTTGTTGAGATAATTGAGGGTCATAAACCCAATGATTGTAAATGGGTATACAAGATCAAGAAAGATTCTAAAGAGAAGATCGATAAGTATAAAGTCAAACTAGATGTTATAAGTTTTACTTAAAGAGAATGTACTGATTACAATGAACGATTTTCTCCTATATCTTATAAGGATGTTACTTTTAGAGTAATTATTACAGTAGTAGCTAATAAAGATTTAAAGTTAGACCAGATGGATGTTAAAATTGTCTTTTTAAATGGGAATCATGTTGAAGAGGCCTATATGTTGTAGCCTAAAGGTTTTAAAAGGATGATAAAAATCATCTTGTGTGTAAACTCAAAAAGTCTATTTATAAACTCAAACAAGCTTCTCATCAATGTTATCTTAAATTTAATGAAGTAGTCACCTCTTTTGATTTTGTTAAGAAAAAGGCAAACCAATGCATATATCTCAATATTACAAGAGCTAGATTATCTTTCTTATTTTATATGTTGATGATATGTTGTTTGCTAGTAGGCTTTAAGTAGTTTGACATGAAAGATCTTGAAGAAGCATCTGATGTGCTTCGGATTGAAATCCATAAAGATAGATCTCATCATTTGTTGGGACTCTCTTAAAGTGCATGTGTTATTTGTTTCTTAGATAAATTTTCATGCTTGATAGCAAAGATGAAGAAGTGTTAGTTGTCAAAGGTGATAAATTGAACTTGACACAATGTCTTAAAATGCTGTTGAGAGGGACTTTATGAAACTAGTGCCATATACTAATGTAGTGGGAAACCTGATACATGCTAAGGTGTGCACAAGAGTTGACATTGCTTTTGCATTGAGTCTTTTAGGTAGACATTTATCTTATCCTGGTAGAGATCATTAAGAAGTTGCAAAGGAAGTGATGAGATACTTGAAGTGGATTGAGGATTATATGTTAACTTACCAAAAGATTGAAGATCTTAAGCTGATGGTTAACATGGGCTATGACTTTGCTAGTTATTTAGATGGTAGGAGGTTCATTTTAGGATACATTTTGATATTACAAGTTGTCCAATATCTCGAAAAAGTATAAAGTAAAAAACTTGTGATCTCATCCACTATACAAGTGGAATTTGTAGCATGCTCTGGAGCAACTACATAGGTTGCCTAGTTAACAAATCCCATTATAGAATTGTTGGTGGTTGACTTTATTACAAAGATCGATATAGTCATAACGTGATAACATTGTAGCAGTTTTGTTCACCAATAACAATAAGGATATAAAAAAAGCTAAGCATATGAGGATAAAATATTTGACAATTAAAAAACTTGTGAAAACAATGTGACATTTCAATAAAACATATTGGACTAATGACATTATATGTAATCCTTTGACCAAGAGACTACACTCTGTCACTTTCAAGAAAAATGTTTATGACATGGATATTGTATACATTTTTTATGTACTTGGTTAGTGGAAAGATTTGACATTGTTTTTTGCTTTGTACTTAGATTGTTTGGAGCACATCTTTGATGATGTATTTGCATTTAGTATTAATAATGATTATTCAGTCATAAAGCATGTGCGTATGCATATATATATATATATTGCGTATTTGAAGACTTAAGATGTGTGTTAGTTTTAAGCATCAATTGAGGTACAAATTGATAGCCTTAACGGTACGTCTTTGACACAAAGTATATCTAGAGATATTTAAGGAAAAACATATATGTTTATTAAACATTTCTCTTACAAGTTAGTGCTACATACAATAGAAAATAAGTGACTGACAAATAAATATAACACATGAAATAGATGAATAGGATTGGGTGGTATATGTGATTATAGTTGGTTCTATATCTTTAAAGAAGTAATTACTACTATTTTTGATATCACAAAATTTTGTTGGAAAGAATTGTGTTTGGAGTAGTCTCAAACTCAATTTGTTTTTATATTGGGCATAAAAGCTTTCAATGTCTTAGTTTAAGAGTTGATTTTAAGAAAATTTATTTTTCAAAACTTAAATTTAAATAATATAGTCCAAGTGAAAGATTGTTAGATTTTCTTGAATAATTAAAGTGTAGACTTAAATTATTTAATTTAATTTTCCTTTTCTCAAAATTAGGCTAAGGTAATTTTGTTTTGATAACAGACAATATTACAGTCCATAATATGATTCAATAAAGTGAATTAGACTCTAATGTTATATGTGAGCTTACTAGTGTGGGCCTTTATGGTAAACCCTATATACTATAATGTGTGACACTAAAACTTTACTACATAAAGGTATAGTTAGGTCTTTTCTCCAATTTACAGAAAACATTAAGAATTTCACTCATTTGAGAGTTACAGATCAAGGAAGAGGAAATTTTAATGCACTAAATCTCAACAATTAATCTGTTTGATATTTTTTTCATTGTCAAATCATGAATCAAGAATCAGTTAGGTTTTTGTGTTTTAAATTCCTGTTATAGTGGCTGAGCAAAAAAAAAATCTTGTTATAGTGAGTTTTGAATTAAGTTTAAATTAATTATACATATAGTTTAACACATTACTCCATATCAAAATTTTGTGCTATCAGTTCATGTAGGCAGTTATGGTTATATAGGGACCATAAGGAGGAAAAGGGTGTGGGGAGAAGAGATGAAACTTAAGTGTGCAATTTTAGTTTGAGGATTTCAAATAAATTCTGGTCTTTGGAACGAGACTTTAGGTTATAAACACTGCACATACTTATTATCAGCAAAAAGATTAAAGCCTGATGTTTGGGGCAATACAAAATTTCAAGCATTTGAGTTGGGAAAAAGATAATTATAAAAGCAAATGAAAAATGTGCATTTTTCCAAAAACCAGTTTAGGGTTGAAACGGCTAGAGTTGGCAATTGAGCCATTAAATTTAACAATTGAAAAAGTACCCAATAAGCATATTAGACAGAGATAAGAATTTTGTGTTTAGACCTTCAAAGCTGAGCCCTAAAGACTCAATTTCGCAGTTTAATTGTCATTTCAAAGTTGCAATAATTTATTATTGTTATTTTTTCACTTTCATGGTGAACAGGGGCCAGCATAAGCATTTTAGTGCTAGTATTGAGCCTTTCATGGATATATTGGGGACTTTGGCAAAGAAAGCTCATCAGACAGAGAGAAAACTTCTTCCAACGGAACGGTGGAATTATTTTACAACAAGAACTTTCAAAGCATAAAGGAACTGTAGCAGCCAAAATATTCACAGCCGAAGAGCTCAAGAAGGCAACAAACAACTACCATGAAAGT